TCTACTTATACTAACATGTGATGGACAGAGTCAAGGGTTGTTAGAGCTGAACCAGACATTAGAGGTCCAGAAGATAATTACATCTAGTATTAATGATGAAAACAAAAACAAAATAAGAAAAACTCTAAGGCTTAAAGATGTCTAACCATCTTATTAAATGATGAACCCGGGTCTTCAGTTTCTCCCAGTACATTATTCATTATTTCATATGAAACTACTTCAAGTGAGCAAAGTATATATATGAATATATATATATATATATATACACACATATATATGAATATATTTATATATTCATATATATATAGGCCCAAAATAATATTGTCAAAGGATCTTGACAAAGTTTTCATAATAATACTTACTTTGATGAATATTGATGAGCTTATCTAAAAAGCACAATGTCCTTTTCAATTTTCACCCACAATGCTATTTTCCATGCTTTTCTATGTGACCAGAATAGCTCAAACTAGGCAGTTAAGCATCTGTTTCCAAAAAGGTAAAACCTGGGTATTGTGGCTCAAATATTTACCTATTTTTACACCATTTAATTTATATTAAAAAATAATTAATGTTGTATGTAGGAGAACTAGCTCCCATTTACTTGTGTCTGGGAAACAGTAATCTATGTGAGGGATAAGGATTAGCTTGCCTGAAAAAGTTACCAGGCATGACTGTGACTATTGGTAACTTGTGCGACCTGAGGAGGAAAGGGGTGATTTTGGCTGATGATGGAGTGGGAAATGTTTTGGAAGGAAGTAAATAACTATTAGGTGGTTGAGAAACCCCAAGAGAATTTATATCATCTGGTTGAAAAGTTTCCTGAAGAAAAATGACAGAACTGATTAACGGAAGTATTTTTAATTAGCTGAGCTGAATCCAAAAGAAGGAACAAGCCCAAGTCAACAGAGGAAGTTTACTGGACTTCCTATTTAAAACAGATGTTTTATCAGAAGTGATTAATTTATGAATGCAATCATAATAGGACTGAATGTTGAAGCAATTTATTAAAATGAAAACCGTAAAAGTAAACAATATCTAGGCACTCCTATTTCTTTTTTTTTTTTTTTTTTAAATATATTTTATTGATATTTTACAGAGAGGAAGGGAGAGAGATAGAGAGCTAGAAACGTCAACGGGAGAGAAACATCGACCAGCCACCTCCTGCACACCCCCCACCGGGGATGTGCCCACAACCAATGTACATGCTCTTGGCCGGAATCTAACCCGGGACCCCTCAGTTCGCAGACCGACGCTCTACCACTGAGCCAAACTGGTTTCGGCTAGGCACTCCTATTTCTTAAAGGTACAGAATGTAGGACATTTTTGCAGGTGGATAAAACACCTCTTGGACAGCAACTTCAAAGCTGGGATTGGTACCTGGTGGGCAGGAAGAACAGATAGCCTTAAGCGAGTGCCTTGCTCTCCAGGCAGAGCCCTTGGGGCATAGGGACTATGAGACCTGGGATGCAGGCCATAAGCCAGACAAACTGATGCAAAACTCAAGAGCAAATGTTTTCTGTAACTTGGTATGCAGTTTCTTATGGCTGAAGCAGCCCCCCTTTGTGGATACAAAGTCCTGCGGTAAATAGAACTTCTGCTATGTTTTGTCTCTCTCTCTTTTTAAAAATCTATTAAATTTTTTAAATTAATTAATTTATTTTATTGATATGGTCTCACATAATTGTCCTTATCCCTCCATTCCCATCCCAAACCCCTTCCTACATATGTCCCCACACCCCTGTTGTCCATGGCCACTGGCTAGGCCCATCTGCATGCACACAAGTCCTTTGGTTGATCTCTTCCCCTTACCCCCCACCCACCCTCCCCTACTTTCCCTCTGAGGTTTGTGTTTTGTCCTTTGTGTGTGAGCTGAGAGGCTCGCTGTAAAAGTGATCTGGTCTCATTTACTAAAGGAGATTTTTAAAATTCAGTGCTCATGTGCTGCCTTGCAGAGAGTTTGGCAGAACATGAACATATGCCTTGCTTGGGAGGAAGACAATGACTTTCCAAGGAGTTCATCTTTCCTCCTCCACAGCCAAGGAGCTCCCCTAGGAGGAATCAGAATTCGGATTTGCTGCCAGGTTGCCCCCACTCTGTCACTGAAGAGATAGACTCCCCCAGATTTCCAAATCCCATCTTGGATGTCGTCATCTGGCTGGCCAGTAGTTTTGAGATACCACCCAAGGAGTTCAGGAGTCAACTGTCATTAGGAATTGATAACACGTTAAACTTCCTTTCATGGAAGGTATTTTAGCTAGTGTACTAAAAGCATGAATTCATACTTTACATCATTTCACAATGTATCATAATAATAAATAATGGATTTAGTATGTTACCTGAAGCTCCTTTAAAAAAAAAATAAAGATAACACTAGAGAGAAACACATAGAAGAAAGCACCATTAAGTGTTTTTGGTAAACCGTTAATGTCAAACATATATAAAAATCTAATCTCTCCAAGTGTGTATGTTAATTAAAGTTTTTGTCCTTCTTACAATTAGACAAAAGGAAATGGTGCTGTTAAATGTCTGCATATCAGAAGGCCCCAAATTTAAGTGCTTTGCTATTTTGAGTTTGTTAATAGAAGTGGTTATTAATAAAGGCCTTTAGCCTTAATCTGCCTCTCTAAATTCTGAATGTCAGAAAAATGGTATTCATAAAAAATTATTATAGAATTATACTTATTACTTAGGTCACTTTAGAGGATCTAAATGACCTATTATTGGTCTTAGTCTGAGATTAGGAGATGGAGTAAGATTTGCTCATTGACTTTGTAACTTCAATAAAATTTATGTTTTCTATTTTTTAAAAGAGGGAAATGGGGGAAATGCTTTAAATTCTGTTATGCAGATTTGAGAACTATGTATTTTCACTCTTAGGAAAATTACTACAGAAATTTTGTTGTTTTTTTTTATGTCTTTTTTTTTCATTTTTTCCAATGATATTTTTCCATTGATTTTTAGAGAGAGTGGAAGGGAGAGAGAAACATCAATGTGAGAGAGACACATAGATTGGTTGCCCAACCAGGGTCAGGGATGGTGCCCGCAACCAAGGTACATGTCTTTGATTAGAATCAAACCTGGGACCCTTCAGTCAGAGGGCTTATACTCTATCCACTGAGCCAAACCAGTTAGGGCTACAGAATTTTTTTTTAAAAAGTGTTGAGTGGGAAATAGCATTTTAATCTTAGTGATTTTTAACTACATAATATTTGAATTAATGTTTTTAGGTTTTTGCCTTAAGATTTTGACATGTCTTTAGACACTGAACAATTATAAAGCTAGAACAGTTTTTCAATGAAAAACATAAGCATGATTCTTAAAGATTTCTAATATAGTGAAAAAATAATATGTATGTCTTAAAAGCTTTACAAAAACTTTATATTTAAATATTATTAAATACATAAAACATTTATACATTTTATTTTATTTTGCTTTCTTACCTGCTTTATCCCAAATTTAATAGATAGAAGGAAGGAATGGAAATATTTCCCCCTAGTGGTCAGTTAACAAAAGCGATATTTACTGCCACTAGTGAATGTTCTTTATGACAAATTTGATAATAATGTGTACTCTGTTTTAAATTGCACTGTTTTCAAAGAAACTAGAGAAGTAATACAAAGACAAGCAACTTCATAATCAGATTATATTAATCAGTTTATTGGGCAGTTCTGACCAAGAAGCAGAAGCCCAAGAAGAACATTTACTGCTTTGATCTGCACTTCCTGAAGGCACTTGTTACCATGTATATGATAGCTTTTGGTAGACCATTAGTGTCCTTTCCCTTTTGACTCTTTAGGAACTTAAATACTTAAGCTGTGCATGATCTTGTGTTTTGCTCTCCTTTTTATTGTAAAATGTAAATATTTTAAGGGATATTTTGATTCTAAATATAAGAGAATTTCTCACCTATTTTGTGTGATTTGAAATTCAGTAAAAGAATTTCTTCTTTAAAAAAAATAAAAAGAAACCTTTTGTTTTTGACCCATTGAACATAATCAGCACAAACCAACAGGTATATGACATAAAGCACTTTATTTAATGCTTAGATATAAATTACCCAAGTAAAAATAAAATTAAACCAGTATTTAAAATTAAAATGAAAATAAGTGGAATTTTTCTCACCCTCTTGATAAACTATCATGTTATTTTCTACATTTACAACATTGTCATATATGATGGGGAGGTAATAGTTTTTTTCAGACAGAGGAACCATTTGAGGCTTAATTATTTCTTTCCTATGCTCTTTATAATCTCAGCAATGACAAGACTCTTTGTCATTTTTCTCACCAAGGTCGTTCCATGCCTAGCATAGTGATATGCACCTAATTGGGGCTCAATAAACAATCCTTGAATGATAGAATGAAAAAAAAAAGAGATACTTGTTCATGAAGATATATAGATTAAGATAAAATCAATCAATCAATATAAATATCACACACCCACAATGTAGCTCATACTGTTCTAATTGCTGTCTTGATCTATTTTTTATTTACTTTTATATGAATGAATTTAGATTTAAAAGCATATATGGAATCATGCAAAAAGAAGCAGTTAGAGACAAAAGTAAGTTACTTGTGTTTATTAACTTCTTAAGAATAGATAATGTAGGCCAGAGTGCGTGGTAGTTCTCCCCCTAGAGGTGGGCTCTCGCCTGGCCCCCAATATCGCCAAATTTAAAAAAAGAAAGAATATATAATGAATATTTCCTTGTTAAAACTCAAATTCAGACACATTAAAAAAAAGAAATTAAAAGTATATGAACACTGTTCAGAACAGAGAGTTACTTTTGGAGGGAAAGCACCTACGCCAATACAAAAATGTTACCCAAGATTAGTAAAAAACTGCAGGAAAAGCTATTGGGCTCATGCACCTGTTTTTGTTTGTTGTGTTGTTTAACATCTATGGTCTTTTAATGAGATGATGTGGTATTGATCCTCACACAAACTATTGATTTGAGTGTCATTGTAATTGAAAATGCTGTGTTTTTCTTCTCTTTATAGAAAGCATCATCATTCACCAGTTACGCATGAACTCCCGATGAAATGGTAAATCAAGCACATACTGGGTGTGTGTACTGCCTCTGAATCCCTGTTGAATGGATAGTATTACTACAGCTCTCCATCATCACTAAGGTCCTCCAGGCTACTGATCACTACTGAAAATAACTTTCTACTTCAGTGAATTTTTTTGAGGACATAATGTAAAAGCTGAAAATGGCATTGCTGATAATATAAAAATAGGTTGCAAGAGCAATTTAATCTTTGTGTCAAAAGCAATTTCTCCTCCTTTTGCAAAGCTTTCAGGTCCATGGGCACATGCTATGTAATTTATTTTTATAATACACTTTGTGATGTGATTTTTTTCCCCTAAAGTGTTTCCTTTTTCATAGTCTATGGCACATATAGTATATCCATAGAATACACTGTCAGTTCTTCAAAGCATAGGTATTGATGAATTTACAATAGTAACCTATAATAATTTTATTTGATCAATTTGTTATTTCTGAAGAACAAAAAATACCACACTATATATTTCCTGGGGGAAATTCAAGAGGTAAAACAGAAGCAGGAGCTTCTAGAAGAGTTTTTATTATTGCTTGTACAATGTTGTGGTTCTGATCACGGTTCAATACTAACAGATAATGGTCTGGTTTAAAGTTTAATTTTAAACACTTAAAGACAGTTTTAAAGTTGCTCTTTCTAGTGTTCTGTGCCAAAACCCTGAATGAATTGATTTTAATATGGAACAAATAAATAAAAGGAGATGTATGAGTTTAACATGTAAGGATTATAGAAATATTATACCTTCAACCAGTAGTTCAACTATGTTTCTGTTTGCATTATTTACTTATATGTACAGAACTCAGAATAAGGATATCAAGATAGTTCTCACAATCTACCTAAATGAAAGCCTGAAAATAAAAACTGACCTAGAGAATATCAGCATCTTTTTTAAAAATGGTAATAGAAATGCCTAGATAATTTTTTTTTCTTGTAGATAGATGTTGGACAGATTTTTCAGAAATCACATATAAGTTAGAGAATACATTCTTTTTTAAAAAAATATTTTTATTGATTTTAGGGAGGAAGGGAGAGGGAGAGAGAGAAACATCAGTGATGAGAGAGAATCATTGATCGGCTGCCTCCTGCACGCCCCCTACTGGGGATCGAGCCTGCAACCCAGGCATGTGCCCTTGGCCAGAATCGAACCTGGGACCCTTGTCTGCAGGATGATGCTCTATCCACTGAGCCAAATCGGCTAGGGTGAGAATATATTCTTTAAAGATAAAAAGCACATGAATTACTTAAATCTCAATGTCACAGCTGCTGTTGAACTTAAATTTATGTGAAAATGTGCATCTGAAGTCTACTTGAAAGCCTTAATATAGGGTTTTTATTTTTAAAGACTTTGTCAATGTGGACATGTTGTCAATAAAGTCTTTAAAAGGTAACTAAGATAAATAAATATTTGACACATCAGTTTCTGAAGGCAGGAATCATCTATCATGTAACTTTACTTAGATTAAAGAAATTATGCTCCGGGTGTCACAAGCATAGCTAAAAACCACACAAATAATACTGTTGGCCCATTTCTCCATACCACAGGCTGTACCCAGGTTTATATGCCCATTAAGGGGAGTCCATACTGAGTCTCTGGATTGAAAAATTGATATTGGATTTCCTCCCCTATGTAACTTTGTAAGGTATTAAGGTATACCTTGTGGAATTAGCAAATTATAGTCAATAAGTATTATATATGAAATTACTATATTTTATGTAAAATTAGTTTTGACCTTTGTAAGTAAAAGAAATGCTATAGTGGGCTTGCCCTAGCTCGAGTGATTGTGTAGGTGTCACATAACCTGCAGGGTTTTGATTACTGATTAAGAAAACTTAGATGTATTTGAGTGAAGATTTAAGAAATTGTTGTTTTGGGTTTTGCTTTCTGCAAATGTTTTTGAATGACATTTCAACTAGGGGATGGTTTTATTTAGTATTGTTATATATATTTCATTCACAATTAAGCTCCCTTTTTGCCAATATTTTTTATGGCAAAAATATTCAGATATATCACAGATTATATTTGAAGCAAATAACTTTTTCTCAACTCGTGGGAATGTTATTACACTAATTTTGAAAAAGCCTTCTAAAGATGAGACTTTAAATATTTCCTGGCTTTAATTTAAAATGCTACAAGTAATTTATGTATATTTGGATCTGAAGTTTTATTTTTCCCAAGTTTATAATGAAGTTTGGTACTTCCAATGCTGAGTGAGGATGACGGTGTAACTGGTCATTTGGATAGATGCTGAGCTTTTCTCTACCCATGCTATGAATAAGACTCTGTTGAAACCTAAGTGGAATCAAAGTGACAGATGGTTACAATTAATTTAAAAATTTTAAAACTTGTTTTGAAATAGAACACAATATTAAAAATTAACAGAAAACAACAAATAGTCATATCCTTAGCACATGAATAAATAATCAAGATCATAAATAGTCATAGCCCAATATTCACATTCAATTGAAAAAATTGTCCCTCATACAAGTCTGGTATCATCGTAGGCTACATAATTTCTCTATCTTTTAGTGTAAGTGAAACTCCAATCATCAATATGAATGAGAATCAGTTTTGAATGGAATAATTCTGTTTTCTGATGTATGATCGTAATCAGTGTTTTCTGTTTAAGATACTACAAACTAATCCATTACTTTACCCTTTTCTTTTTGAGAGGAGTGTTTTCTGAGGATATCCTCTACAAGGATTTTTTTCAAGTATTTAATAAAATATTAGGGTTTAATGAAAATAGTGCATAGAGTAAATTTCCAGAGGTTAGATACCTGTAATGTTCACAAATGTAAACAATTAATTGTATCTTAGGACAACCATAAATCAATTCATGGTGTGGAATATCTAACTTAAGCATTAACAGGAGATACCAACAATTCTGAAATAATTCCCAACTTCTAAAACTCAGTAGCAGAGCAAAAGTGAATGCTGTGTCAGACATTGTAATATGTTTGTGTCTTTTCTCTTTATGCTGTGGTTGAATTTTCCTGGAAATAAATAAAAAATAGAGCAAAGGTAGGGTGTGTTCATGAATCTGATAAGCAACATTTCTAAAATTAACAAAAACGCATAAAGGAAGTTTAAAAAAACACAACTAGGCATATATCTCCCTCTGGACCTCTCGTGCTATGCCTCTGCTAAAAATACTAATTATAAGGCAAAGAGGAAAAACAATAAAAATTGTTGTAATAAATTCATAAGATTGGGAATTCCATGCAATTAATGTTGCTTAGTGACCACTAATGTTTTATTTATCTTACTATTATTATGTTTTTTAATACTCACCTGAGGATATGTTTATTGATTTGAGAGAGAGAGAGAGAGAGAGAGAGAGAGAGAGAGAGAGAGAGAGAGAGAGTCATCTATGTGAGAAAGAAACACTGGTTTCCTGTCAGTCATATGTGCCCAGACTGGGATTGAACCCACAACCTAGGTATGTGCCCTGACAGAATAGAACATGCAACCTTTTTGGTGCCAGGGCGATGCTCCAACCAACAGATTCACCTGACCCAGACAATATTTTATTTTCTTAAACTTTCAGCATTTCCTCCTTACTGTATGATGACATTATGTTTGCTACATAGGGAAAATGCTGTAGATTCATACATTTGAACAGAAATATTTCTAGGTGCCATGACATGACACATTTTTTTTTTCTGGTGGGTTATTTTTTGTGTGTTTATGTTATTTGGTTAATTTTACCTTACCATTCACAGATTTTGTTAACAGTGCAAACTTATATTTATTTAATCTAGATTTTGTTTTTAAAATGTCAGATGTTAGCTTCTTCATATGTGATCAGCTATTCTTAGAAGTCTTGCAGGTGTAATGGATTTTTAATAGCAAAAGAGTACATGAAACATTTTTGGAGTTGCAGTCTATTTTCACAGCATTCACAATTTTTTCTTTAAGTTTTATTAAGTACATGAGAAGTTTATTTTTCACTACAGCCAAGTGAATTTATGAATATGTACTTGTCTTTTGTATGATTGTGATATCCTGCTTTCATTTCATCACAGGTTACTGAAATTTAACCAATTAAGACATTCTCTGTGTTATTTCCAAAGCCAACTTTGTTTATCAAAATCTCACCAGAGAGTGAGAAAAATAATAATTGTGATATAAAAGTATTGTGCAATATTTTTCTTTTGAGTTGGAACATAATATTATACAATTAAAATCATTTAAAATGAGCATTCCACCTTATTTTAAATTATTTGCTTTAAAATAGTTTCACTTCTGCATTTCATATTTTGTTAAAAATTTGGTACTTTTCACTGCGAATAAGCAGAAGCAGTATAGCAGACCAGCTAAAATCAGAGATGCTTTTCCTCTGAGTCACATTATGGTTTGATTCTTTAACAAGATAAAAACTGCAAGACACCAAGAGATGGAAACTGGCTATAGGTTCCCTTCACCCTTTTATCCTCCCCAAAGGCATTCTATATAATAAAAGGCTAATATGCAAATTGACCAAATGGTGGAACAACTGGTCGCTATGATGTGCACTGACCACCATGGGGCAGACACTCAATGCAGGAGCTTGCCCTGTGGTGATTAGTGTGCTCCCACAGGCTGGTGAATGCAACAGTGATGGTGGGAGCCTTTCTTGCCTCTGTGGCAGTGCTAAGAAGGTCTGACTGCGGGCCTAAGCCATCAATTGGACATCCCCCGAGGGCTCCCAGTCTGCCAGAGGGTGCAGGCCAGGCTGAGGGACGCCCCCCTCCAAGTACATGAATTTCATGCAGCAGGCCTCTAGTTGTCAATAAACATTCAAATAATATTTTGCCACTTTCTTTTTTTTTTTTTTTAATGTATTTTTATTGATTTTTTACAGAGAGGAAGGGAGAGGGATAGAGAGCTAGAAACATCGATGAGAGAGAAACATTGACCAGCTGCCTTGTGCACACCCCCTACCAGGGATATGCCCACAATCAATGTACATGCCCTTGACCGGAATAGAACCTGGGACCTTTCAGTCCGCAGACCGACGCTCTACCGCTGAGCCAAACCGGTTTTGGCTATTTTGCCACTTTCTAAAGGTAGATTACTTAGTAGAGCAAACACTCCTGAAGTTTTGTCAGCAGTCCACAGCCCAGCTTCTACAGGAGCAGTTGGGTAAGGGTTTTAGCAAAGTGGGATGAGGGTGATGATGGGGTTATGCTCTGACCGCTTTTATCAGCCTAGTGCCAGAGATGGTTGGCCATAGCAAACCTAACTTATTTTTGCCTTAGTTGGGACAAAGGAATAGGTTTCTCCTGTTTATTATTTAAATATACACATATCAAAAAAGCAGGCAGGAAGATGTCAAAGTGATGCTTTCCAAGGGAAAGTGCAGATGTTAGAGATCTTGCCCACAGGACAGCTCTGTGGCTTCTGTTCTTGGAGGAGTGGAGCCCTTCAGTGTGCATGATTTAAAAACACTTGCCCAAAATTAAATGAATAAAAGCACTGGCCAAAAGTCATTGTTTATTTCATGACTTCCTAGGAGCATGGAGTCTCAAGCTTTCCACCAGATTTGTTCAAATGGATATGTCCCTTTGAGATTTTTCCTTAGGGTAGAGACTGCAGTTGCTTCCCTGAGCCCCATGCTTGTTGGCAATAGGCAACATTGCGCGCGCTTGCGCTCTCTCTCTCTCTCTCTCTCTCTCTCTCTCTCTCTATATATATATATATATATATATATATATATATATATATATATATATGTATACACACACACACACACACACACACACACACACATATATATATTACTGTCCTTAAAATCTTTTGAAATTTGTATCTAATGCATCCCATGGAACCTATGAAGGATTTCAAACACTCAGGCCTCCTCCCCTCAACAGGGCCACCCTCAGTGACTGCATGGTTCCACAGATAATGAATGGTTGGAACCCAGTTCCCTGGAGTTCAGAGATGAATTCTTAAAAAGATAAGTCCTCCTTTTGTTTCTCCAGGCATTATTTCCAGCATTTTCTTCAGAGCTAAATATCTCTAATGAGAAAATCTTTTTCTGTTTCTCTTCGGTAGTCCATTTATCCCATTCTGCCTTATATTGACTGGTCTTGGTGTACAAAGCTATCTCCCCAGTTCATTCTCCTCCTCTTCCTCCTTGTTAATCCTCACAGGGGGATTATTTTTTTCATTGATTTTTCCCCCGCAGAGTGTGGAAGGGAGTGGGAGAGAGAGACATGGATGCAATAGAAACACATTGATTAGTTGCCTCCAACCTGTGCTCCAACTGGGACTGGGGATCAAACCTGCAACTCAAGTATGTGTCATTGAACAGGAATCCAACCCTTAATGCTTTGGTGCGAGGGCCGACACTCTAAATCATTGAGCCATATCAGCCAGGGCTGCATGTAAGTTCTTAAATGCAGGACTTGCATATTCCTCAGTGAATACAAAGTACTGGTTAAATGCTTGCAACAGGCAATATGATTCCTTCAAATTAGCCTTTAAACCTTCTTTCTATGTCCTTCAAAAATGCATAACCATGCTTCAGACCTTCTATTAAGTATTTCTAAAAGGGAGGGGAAGCAGGGAGGGAGGAAAAAGGCTCCGCAGCTTTTCCCAGGCTAGCCAGGACTCTAGCCCCTTGAGTTTTTAAACTGCCTTGCATTCTTCCTAGAGATAGAGGAGATGAGATGAGGCTTTTACAGTCCCAGGAATGGCTCAGCCTTGTGAGTTGAGAGAGTGAAACTGAGGTAGGTGACTGTGGTTTGGGACAAAGAAGGTTTAATGGCTAATCTGGAATTGTGAAGGTTTGTGCATGTGATGAGATGGAGAAGAGAAGGAAAAAGAGAGAGAGAAATGAAAGACTCTCAGCAAGAAAGTGAGGCTTCAGTTTCCAAGTCTGGCAGGTGCTGATTGGTGGTTCAGAGCTCAGGAATGTCTGGCCACCGGTGGGGTTTAAGTCCGTCCATCAACTGGAGGAAGGGAGGATCTATCAGTTATTCATTATTATTTTTTCTTCAATCTTTCTGGTTACCTAGCTCAGTATCTGGAACACAGCAATTTTACTTAAAAAATGTATTATAAAACTTCCCCTCCAAAAGCTATTTATATACACCTCTTCAGATCATGGACTTGTATCTGCTCTATTATTTCAGATTTACTTACACATTTTGGTTCAGGTATTCATTGCATACTTACTATGTTGACCTGGTAGTCAGCATTAATCAATATCATTGAGCCACATACATTTTTTAAACCAGGAATCAACAAATGAATAATTATTTAAATGACATAAATGTTATCTAATGTCATCAAAACACACACACACACACACACACACACACACACACACACACAATCACTCCTAGCAACCACAGTTTGAAAATGTATATACTGTTAATCCACTGTGAGTACAACCACTCTCTTTTGTTGCCCCAGAAATGTTGAACAAAACTTTTGTTTTAAAATTATTACTTCAACAGATTCATTAAAAAACTACCTGATAAGAACTATCATAAAACAATGTGTATAACCAATGAAATTCTGAGTCTCTTGAGCTAATGTGGAAGTAAAACAGCATGTTGTCATGGCAGGAACAGTAGAGGGAAAGGAACTGGAAGGATGACATGAGATCTTGAAAAGACTTTTATTTCATCCATTTGGCTCTCATTTGAAATGTAAGTTTAAGATAAGAATCTAAGAAAGCTTTCAGCTCAAAAAGTCAAAATGGAATTTCTAATAAAAAAAGAGACAAGGAGTTAAATAATCTTTTCCATGGACAAACTAAAGAACAAGGAAGCAAATATATACATCATGATCACTCAGACCACTAAAACAAACAAAAACTGAGGGCAAAATATTGACTGTACTTACACAAAATGCTAGAATTGCAAGTCACATAAGGAACTATCACATTTAGTACGTGTGATGATGTTAGAAATGGGGAGGAAAAAAATTACGCTTATGCATTATGATCAATATTTATTAAGCAACAGAATTCAGCAAAATATAAGGAGCCCATGGCTTCTCCATTAATTGTGATAAACAAATATTTTCCATTTGAGCGTCAGGTTGAAAGTAAACTTACATAGATCAAAACAAAATGTGTAGTCCTGTCACCAGTACTTAGAATTTGAGAAATAATAGATATTATATAAGAGCTAAGCCAGGCAAGTTAGTTATCTTCCATATATTCAATTGGCTCACATCCTGAGACTTGTAGTCATTTTTGAAAATACATTTAATTGTAAATTATGAGTCCAAGCACTCCTTTCGTTTCCCTTTTCTTGAATTATCTTCCAAAAATATGACTGCAGACAAAGCCTTATAAGAAAATAAACTCTGGGTATTTTTGTTTTAGATGATGTGGCTTACTCTCTGGTCTGGATTTCAAAGATGCCAATATAATGTGGACTGTATATAATTTTTTAAAGGATTTTTACAAATTTATGGTTCTTGCAGACATTGGAAAATACAGAAAAAAGAACAAAGAAGTAGAGAAGAAAAAGAAAAAAAAAACCCCTCCATGCAGTCAACAGAGGTTACCATTATTTTTCAATTAGAGCTTATATTACCTTGGTGTCAAGATTTAGTCACGTTATACACCACGAATATTACTGCCCATAAATAAATACTTGGCAGTTTTAAACTGTCTACACAACATCTCATTTTGCAGTAATGCTACAATTGGTTGGCATCCCGTGTAAAGTAAAGAGCTACACCTTATTATAAAAGACTCCTTAAATCCGAGCAAAGGAGAAACGCGGACACAGAGAAGATCGTGAAAAATAAGACCATTAATAGGAAAAAAAAAAAAAAAAAAGTGATCATGGCTCGAGTAGAGGCGCAATAATAGGATTAAACGAGTCGCTTTAGGACAAAAGGGTCATCCAGCAAGCATCTCACTTTTAAGTTTTTATTTGCATTTTGAATGGAGATTTATTTTCATTAGAGAAACTCGAGGTTTTATATATAAACACAAGCAATGCGCCCATCGCGTGGCCTCCTTTTAAATGCTCCGACTGCCTTCCCCAGAGGGCTCGGAGACACAATAAAGCGTGTCCAGCACCGAAAGCCATTGGTCATCAGCAGCCTCGGGACCGCCGCGCGGGTCCCTTCCGCGCCCTCCGAGGCCGTCGCCAAGGCAACCGGCGCCGCGGGGAGGCAGGTGGGAACAGAACCTGCGCCGATGGAGCGGAGACGCGTCAACGGCCGAGCGCCCGGGCCTCGGCGCTGCGCATGCGCCGTCGCAGCTTCCCGCTGGGGGAGGGGTGGGGGCAGGGCTTTAGAACCCTCACTTTGGCGTCACAGGGCAGATGAGCACGGTGCCTCCGCCCTACCCCTCACCTTTCTATCCTCCTCCCCTCTCCCCTCCCCTCCCCCCTCCGTCCTCTCCCTCCTCCCCCTCTCCCCCGCCGTCGGGAGTCCCCAGCGAACACCAGCTTCCGGCCAATGGCCGCCTGCGAAAGGGCGCCCCGCCTCTTCCGCAGCTACACCGGAGGTCGCAGCGGCGCCTGCGCCTCCACTGGCAGGGTCAGCAGGCCGAGCCCCTGGGCCGCACAGCAGCGCCCAGCGGAGCCGCGCCCGGGGCGCCCACGGCGATGAGCTACATGCCCAAGGATGAGGTGGACGGCGGGCCGCCGTGCGCGCCGGGGGGCGCCGCCAAGACGCGGAGGCCGGACAACACGGCCTTCAAGCAGCAGCGCCTGCCGGCCTGGCAGCCCATCCTGACGGCCGGCACGGTGCTGCCCACCTTCTTCATCATCGGCCTCATCTTCATCCCCATCGGCATCGGCATCTTCGTCACCTCCAACAACATCCGCGAGATCGAGGTGAGGCGGCGGCGGGCGGGCGGGCGGCGCGGGGAGGGGCGCTGCCTGGCGCGGGGCCCTCCCGGCCGCCGGGCCCCCCGCTCCGTCCTCGGCCCTCGGGAGGCGGACCCCGGTCCTCGCCTCCCCACACCTCCCCGCTGCCTCAGTTTCTCCTTTCTCTCCGCCGGCTTTCCCAACGCGCAGCGCTGTCCGCGCTTCCTCTTCCGATTTGCGCGATTAGGGGCGGGATGGACGTTTAGGGCCGAGGGTGGGTGGGTCAGAGGGAGAACGCCCCTGTCGTGCGCGCGGTTCATGTGGCTCCGTGAGGGGTTCTGGTTTTATTTTTTTTATTTATTTTTAACCTCCAAAGAAAGGGGTGGGGGGGGAGAGAGAGAAAGAAAAAGTTGTATCTGGCGATTATACCCTGGGAGGATGGACCTAGTCAGAAGGTCGTGACCCGTGTGGGAATGAACGATGAGAGATGGACCACCCGGGCCATTGTTGGGCCGAGGACCAGGGTCAGGCATGAGGTATAAGAGGTGATTTTCTTATCATCCAAAGACGTTGTATGTTCCAGGTCACAATTAGGACAAGTGACCGAAGTGGGCACACAAGGACCTTTTGTTTTCGAGCAAATTGATGCTTTCAGTGGTAGGGCCCGAATAGAGGTAAAAGGTAACCTGAAACTTCAGTTCCGCGGTGTGCTTTTAGGCTGTGTTTATTAATAATCATGCCCTCCATTCGCCCTCGTTTTTTTTGTTCTTCCTAGATTTTAAACTTTTTTTTTTTATAAAAGTGAATGATCACAGAATAAGTCGTACACTGACGACTGAGTATTTTGCTGCTGTAAGACAGGATAGAGAAACTTGGGGAAGCAGCTTGAATTGTCAAAGCAGCAATCTTAGGAGATCATAGGATATGCATCCATCTGCAGTGGTGAGGATGGGTTGGTAGTAGAATGTGAAACTTTGTCTAGGTGTCCGGTATTAAACATCTGCTCATCTTTTTCCTTGAATATCTGAGGGTATGTTTATCTGTTTGAAGGAGCAATGCTTGGCACCTTGATTTCTTTCTTCTATTAGGTTATATTGCCCCCCCCCTTCTATTTTATGCGTGTTATTTAATGGGGCTTTCAGAGTCATTTTATTTCAACGACAGCAATAGGCAAAAAAAATTACCTGTTTTCCAATTTAATTTACCTTACCTCTGAAAGCAAAATCAATATATATGTTTTTAATTGTATAGTGTTTAATTGTACACTTCTAGATTAATTAACAGTAATGAGAATAGTACCTAGAGCATCGTTTTAAAGTATTTTACTAAAATTTCAGTTTGATAACTAGAGTTAGTATCAGTCTTTTTTTTTCAGTATGCATTTTTACTTGTTTTATCATTTCTATCTCTCAAATGTAGTACTTCTTGTTCTCCCAGCTACACTAGGACCAGGGATATAAGTAAAGTGATGTATTGCAAGGACCATGGGCTCTGTTTGGGCTGGGGTCAGGCAGAACTGGGTTTAAATTCCATCTTAGTCACTAACTCAGTTTCTTGGAAAACTTAATCTCTGAACTTCAAGTTTCCTTATCTGTAAAATACATAAATAATGCCTATCTTTTAAAAGTGTGAGAATTAGAGTCAGTGTAGATAAAACTCTTGGTATTAAGTTTGTATAATAAATAGCTACTATTATTATGATTCTTAATCAGGAGATGAGAAATGAAGACAGAGATGTTGACATTTGGTGGTAAGCTAGAAGAATATTGTAAAATTGAGGCAGAAACCCAAACCCAGATGTCTTTTATTTCCAACCTTGTTTCTTCACTACGTTAGGATTCTTATTGTAGTGTTAGGAGGTAAGAAGAAAATAATTTAACATTTAAATAAGATACTTTATCATCTTATTTAAACTTCTTAAGATGATAATAATGAAAGAGGCAATAATTTGCAATTTTATGTGATCGGTTTTTATTATCAAACTCACCTTTTGTTAATATTTATTATACTATGAAAATAAATATATTTTTTATTGATTTTTTTACAGAGAGGAAGGGAGAGAGATAGAGAGCTAGAAGCGTCGATGAGAGAGAAACATTGACCAGCTGCCTCTTGCACATCCCCTACTGGGGATGTGCCCGCAACCAAAGTATATTCCCTGACCAGAATCCAACCTGGGACCTTTCAGTCCACAGACCGATGCTCTACCACTGAGCCAAACCGGTTTTGGCTGAAAATAAATATTTATTTAAAGCTTTTAGTTTTTGCAATGAAATAAGGCTCTTCACCTTTATACTAAATTGGTGACATGGAAATTTCTTAAATAATTCTTATGTATATATTTCTGATTTCAAGTGGCTTGAAGAGTCTACTGCAGCTTGGTCTAGTTTAAAGGACACTGAAGTTAAAAGTCAAGGCATTAGAGTTGAAGTTCCACCTCTGTTAGTGATCCTAAGCATATTTTTCAGTCTCAGATTTTTTATTTGAAGAACCAAAAGATTCAGACTAGATGATTTCTAAGGTGATGCTTAATTCTAAAATTGTATGACTTCCAACTTTAATATGATGTTTAAAAAATGCTGCATATCCAAATTGCATCACCTTTGGAACTAGAGGAAATGAAAAGTGGAACTGATTAGGAATTTTGTAATCAACACTGAAATAAACTGTGGGAATATAATCAATTTTCTTTTTTTAATTTGGCTGTTAAATATGTAGAAAATTGACTCTGAATTGAGCCTGGAGTTTATTATGAGAAAAACCGAGGGAGCTTTCCCAAAACACACATGCTTTCTTCAGCATGCTCTCCACTCTTTACTAGATACTACCTGTGTTTCCCTGAAAATAAGACATTCTCTGAAAATAAGACCTAGTGCATGGAAAGATAAGACATCCCCTGAAAATAAGACCTAGCACAACTTTGGGGGAAAAAATTAATATAAGACACTCTTATTTTCGGGGAAATAGGGTAGTTTAGTTTACAATATACTGAGGGTTATTTAAAGGAGCAATGAAAAGTTCTTGCCGACATTTACTTTCATACCGTAAGTTGCTCGCACCTCTTAGCTTATTCCTCATTTAAAAAAAAAAAAAATTAAGAACATTTGTTTTTGTGTTAGTCAAATTACTAGGCCAAAGGAGTCTCGCCAATAGTTTCTTTATAATACAGCTTATTATAAAAATCCAAACTTTTTAAGTATAAAAATCAGTGGGCCTTTATGATTATTCCAGAAATGTTATACTAAAAAATTACTGTTGTACAGCACATTGGACTCACCTGACAAAGATGTAAAAAAAGATGTTTTTAAATGTTAATGCTTATATTTGGCATTATCTCTTCCATCCCTATTAGGTTCATAAACCCAGCTAGGGCCTAAGGTTTACTATCTTCATATGTTATTAGCAGCAGTGAATAAATATTTTCTTTAATTTGGCAATTGTAGGAGTCAGGCATATTTTTCTACCGCAAAGATAATGTGTTTCAAGTGATAAGGCTCTTGGTAATATTAATTGAATCGAGCTAACTAGAAAAAAATAGTGAGGTATTCTGTCCAAAGGCATTTGTCAGTGTGAAGTTATATAGTTAGAATTTGATGAGGATATTATTCAGAGTAAATTAAAAAACTAAACATTAATGTACCATGTATTGTCAAAAGTGTTCATAATACATTTTCATTAAATTGTAGTGGATTAGCACCCCCTCCCATGGTTGATAGAAAACTCCAAATCTTATTTTTGTCACTTTATATTTAATCCTATTTATTTTCCTTGTTTTTGATAAAATACAGTTTTATTTATTGTTTTTGCTCCTGTACAACTTAGATTCTTAGATTCCAAGATTTTTAAGATGATTAAATTTCATTTCTGCGTTGAGTAGAAGTTGCTTTGTAGATTGCTAAACAATAAGCACTTTATGATAAGAAGTTTTAAAGATTTTTAATATTCACATGACTTGCAGTTGCTTAGAAGCCTATTCTTGGAAATTAAGAGGTTTGGGATTAGTGTTTTTAATTTGTTACTCAAGTAACTTTAGTACTTAGATCAAGGCATGACAAAGTAAATATGGCCAGCCAGACTGGTTTGTAAGGCCCAGGAACTGAGAATGGTTTTACAGAGGAACATTTACCATTGATTTGATGATAGAGAACTTTGAACACCCAATTATGTGAAATGTTTCCTCCCACCCCCAAATAATTCCATTCTTATGTTACCAGAAAATTATACACAGTTATTATATTTTGAATGTCATCAATAAAAATTAGTACAAATTTGTTTTCTCTTTTGGTATAGAAGAGGCTATATAATATCTTCGGCCTTGCCTCTTGGCTTGCAAAGCCTAAAATACTTTCTGGCCCTTTACAAACAATACTTTCCTGCCCTAAACTTCAAGTTTTAAAGAAACATACAGACAAATTTAGCGTTTGTTACAAAAATATCACTAATTATATTTTCTAATACTCAATAATCTTTTAGTTAGGTATAATGATCCCTGACAATTGTTTGTGTTCTTCTTTGTACAAATTTAAATACCTTAGCTAAATTTACCATTAATCTTGGCTCAGGTAATATCCTTTTTTATTTCATTGTCACAGTCAGATGAAGTTTAAGCAACTAAAGAAAATTGCTTTTGAAAGTTTTACTTAGGTTACCTTTTGTATTCAGTAGAGTCTCTAGAAAGGACTTCCCCTTCCTTCTCCCCCCACCCCCCCAAATTCCTGAGAGTTTACTGTTCAGTTCAAAGAGGCACTTAAAATGCCATTGTTAATGTAATTTAATTAACACATTACTCACCTTGTCAGTCATCTGTGACTCACACTATACTTTCTGTCCTGAAGACAAAACAGGCTGGGTGCTTAAGGTGTTAATACTTAAAATGATTTACCCTATTACTCAGCATTTTGTTGAGTGATCTGTTTAGGTCTTTTATTGATTTCCTTTAAGACAGATTGATATTCAAAACTGGAAGTTTTCCAGTCCTTGGACAGTGTGAAAATTGCATGTCCTTCAAATTCCTCCTTTCCCACTGC